GATAGAGGAAAATCATATCGCCTCTGATTCGACGATACTGGGATGAGTATAGCCCCAGGAGCTGTAATCTTTCTCCGTAGGTCTCGGAATGCAAACCTTTGACCATTTTGGTAGCTATTCTCTGTGGATGTTCGAGTGCCTTCAGATCTCGCTGCAACCAAGGGTTCCAGGCTTGAATTGAGTACTCAGTATATGGACGAATATACGTGGCTAGCAGACGTGGAAACAAAGCCGGCTCAAACGATCCAAAAACACGTTTGAGCAGTCCAACCTGCTTTACCGCAATGGATGATGCCCGGGAAACATCCTGGAAAATCCTATGGGAGCATGATAAACGTTAGCTTTGTTAAATCGCTCATAACAGGACTTTGAACTTTGCTTTTATGTGCATCTCGTGGCGGCAGCATGAATGATAAATCATACTTCAATGTACTGTCAGATTTCCCGATGTTCAATACTGCAATAATATTTACGTCGCACATAGGGTAAATGAGCATCGATCGGTGAGGTCGTGCTTGGTATTTTGCATTCACGGACCCAATATTGGTCGGAACAGATGAATGAAATGTGGTTCACGATTCGGGGGAAAAATAGAAAGAGATCCATAATCCCAACAATACTGGAAAAAAGTAATCGATCATCGTAGTTTATTTGTAACTGATTGCTTGACTCACAAAAGTATATTTAGGGTGCTAAAAGGAGAATACGACGTAAGATCTGTGATCAAGGTCAGAGGTTTTTCTCATGTGTAGGCTTCAAATTAGCTATCTATGTTGTATCAATCGCCCCACTTGTTTGTGGGTGTATGGTAAATATATTAATCACTACAATTTGCAGCACGGAATTTGGGAATCTGAATTCAACTTTACGGCTAATAGACCTTTTGAATAGCGCCATGAAACAAATTCAGTTCGGGTTTACGGCACTTTTTCCCTCGAGTTCACCATAGAATGGGAAGTTCGTCAGTGTTGCCCTCTTTCTCCCCTTTTCTATTCAACTTTGTTATAGATTTGATTATGGAAACAGCCCTATCCTCGTGCGAGGATTGTGGCATCGGTTTGCCTCTAGGTGGTAGACTTATTGATCTGGAGTATGCAGAAGACATTGTGCTGCTAAGTGAAGAGGCAAGTAAGTTGCAAGCGTTTTTAGATAGCTTGAGTGCCAGTGCAGCCATGTTTCGTATGTGTTTTGCACCTTCAAAGTGTAAAATATTACTACAAGACTGAGTTTCAATTTAGTCCATGCAAAAAACCTATTATCAGTGAGAATATCCACAATTTGATCATTATATCTGGTTTCAGTTCATACACACACGCACACAGTAAATTCATATTGATTTGAAACGATATTGATTGTCATTGTGCGACTATCCATTGAGTGGACCGACCAGGAAGAAGTGAGTGAGTGGAAGAATTGAAACTGAACAAACTAGATCCGGTTAGAAAATGACCGAATGCAGATTGTAGTCCGACAGTACACATACTGATTCACATCTGGTAAAAGAAAAACTGTCTGTAGCTATGGTCCAAACATTTTATGGCAAAGATCGACTAACTTTCATCACATATAACACACACATGCACACCTGACTTTTACCTGTAAGCAAGATGTGCACTCTGATAAATTATGCTCTCAATTGCATTTGGAGCAAAAAATAACAAGTTTTTCTCAGATTTTACTAGAACCTATGAGAGGCGATTTGGTTGACTCTATTGCGTACATTAATAGCTATGTTAAGGTTTTAACGGTCAAAATCACAGGAAACTATACTAGGAGCTAGAGTTCATAAGTCATACGACCCTTTGGTAATCTGTAAACTACACTTCCAGATACTTTCAGAAAAGAGTCTTATCGCAACACATACGTTGATTGCATTAGGGTATCTTAATGAATGGAAAACGGGACGGGTTGATTCAGGGTATCTTTTGTGCTCAAAGTGAGACGTCTGACTGGGTCAAGTGCTCAGACTCAAACAATGCTATGAGGGTGAAATAAATATAAGGTTTCCTTAAATAAACGGGTTATGTATTTGATGTCAAATTTCAGATCCTACCGTGAGTAAGTAGCGTCAAATTATATCCTAGGAAGCATTAAAATACAACACGGATAATATTTAGTTGTTTAAGATGAGAAAAATTATTCTCCCAGCTGAGATTTTGTTTTATTTGGAGGGATACAATTCAGTTCAGTTCAGTTTGTACGACAATGCACTTTCGTGCGCCGGTTTTGGTTGCTGTCTTTTAGCTACCCGTTTGGATGAAGAATAGGAGAAGAAAGGAAAGTTGAAGGTAGAGTTGAACAGAAAATGGAGAAGTTCAGTGGTCTAAGGTTGCAAAGAGATTGAGAAGATGCACGAACACCACTGTTTGTGACACCCAGCCATATCACTGTGTCTCTAACCATCGGTTTCGATCATCCCGAAGTCCCCATCCAGGGAGCCTAGCAGTACCTATGTAACCCAGTCTCCTGGTCAGGGTTTTCATACCCTCGTGCCAGGTCTTAGCTTGGCCACCCTTGACTTTCATCCATTCACTACCTGCTTCGGTGAACATCGCTCACCGTGGCAACTTATCTGGTGGCATGTGTAACACATACCCCAAACAAAGTATCCTATGGAGCGACTACGATTGCTTAGAACTCTACGCCTAACGTCAGCATTGTTCATCCAACTGCCCCACCAGATTCGCGCAATGCTGGGTAGACAGCCGTGCCCAAACACCGACAAACTATCTTTCTCCCGTTTTCTTATTGGCAAAGTTTGTGCGCCGTATATCAGAACCCAACCCTCCACAAACAGCCGGATGCCACGACGACACCATTGATGTCTCAAGTTAGCAAATGTCAACAGATCCTTATGTATGCAAGAATATACTTCATCCGTGATGCGTCCACCAGGTCGGATGCAGCTGCCCAAATAACAAAATTTATCCACTTGCTCTATAACTTCCCCGGTTAGAATGAGGCTAGGTGCAGGACCAACCGAGTCTTTTAGTAACATTTTACACTTTGAAGGTGCAAAACGCATACTGAACATGACTACACTNATGACTATACTAGCACTCAGACTATCCAGAAAGGCTTGCAACTTACCTGGGTCTTCGCTTAGCCGCACAATGTTGTCTGCAAATGTAATATTGTTAGGGAACTAACGTATCGAAAGACTAGAGTTATATTCAGAGAGCAATCTTCATTGATCAGGCATTTGTGATAGCCACATCGTTGACGATATCACTCTTTCTTACACCTTTTCCATTCTGCTGTACGTTGCAATTTGCACTGATTGCTTTGCCGGGATTGCGAACTGACTAGTTTCACGGTACCTCACACTCAAAGTCGTTAAGATATGACATGTTGTTCAATTTGCTAACTATCTCTGCTCTAACCCTAGCTCTCTCTCTCTCTCGCAAGCTGTTACCGCTGTAATTTCTCTTTTAACTTATTGTGTTTTTCTTAATTTGAACTTTGTGTGTCCATTATTCTGAATGGATTCACAGAAGGACTGTTTTTACAATTGCGATGCTTGATTTTGTAATTCAACTGTGTTGATTTGGGGAGAGGTAGAAGAAAGTTAATTCAGGCTTTTATTGACCTGGACTTATCAATTTGGTATTTACTTCTTACCATATGCAAGCTCCGTTGTGTTGTAGTCAAATTTAGATAAATCGTGGAACGCTTATAAGTATCCTCCGTGTGAAACTGCACATTTTTAACTGTGAGACTACTCGAATCACCTAATCTTATATAGCATGTACTACTGATTTATCGACAGTAGACAAATGCGGATAGCGGCAAAAGTGAAGCAAGCGTTTACCGAGATCACTTTCAAAAGAAAAGACCAAATTGCAATACACTGCACGATTTATGTCCAGGACGATTTCGCTGCATCTCAACATGGTGCATACTGCAGAAAAAACATCAGTGATATAAGAATTTAGCATGACAACAAACAAGATTAAAGTACAACGAAACAGACAAACATAAAAGGGGGGAGGGGTTAAAAAGACTGTCACCAGGGTAAGGATAAACTAACCTAAAGTTCTTTTTGTTGACACAAGGGGGCTTCAATCGACTGATAATAATCGCTTCTACAAACCGCAGCAATCTTGCGATTTGTGACTTGTAGATAATCCGAAACGCCATGCTTCGGTCGATCTGGTGTTGCGTCATCAGAAGATGTCGAGCTATGGCTGATGAGGGAGTCTTGTAGTTTCGACCGTTGTTTCTACGCCACGGAACTGACCCAGATTGCGTCAGCTAACTTTGAACCCAATTTGGAATATGTTCAACCAACCGGCTGCGTAACTGTCTCTCTGTTCTGCCCACGCAGGTCGCTCCGCACCCACATTGGAATTGGTAAATCAGATTCCAGTTGGCGTACAGATGAAGACGTTCTTTTACCGGCTGCATAGTAGGTTCGATCAATTGCCGATCTCAGTGAATTTTTGAACAAACTGCCTACGTCATCACCTTTGAATTGGAGGCACAACGTGGCTCGTAATTTTGGGGTGGCAAAAGTGGAATTGCTGAGCTTCCGTGCGTAAATCATTCAACAAGTAGTGTGAAAAACGAACAACACCGGTTTCAATTCACGCTTCATTTGTTCTGGACATGACGGAATTCAACATTAGGCACTAATCTGTCTGTCTGTCTGTCTCGGATAGTGCGGATCTGTCAGTACCCCATCCCATGCAGCAAGCTCTCATATTCGAGCAACGACCGATCATCAGAGCAATTTCTGCCCACCGGACATCTGCGTCGTCACACATTTTTTTTCTCCATCGTGGTTTGGTATCCAGACCAACCAAAAATGCGTCTGAGCCCCAAAATTTGGATAGTTCACAGATACACAAACACTTTCCCAAGCCAAATGGATAAGTTTTATCCGTCCTAGACTAAGTTAGTTGTCCAATTCAGATAAGTTGGATGTGACCAATAGATAATTAAATGTGATTTGACAACAAAACTCCGAGCCGGGTACCATTGCCGGATGATGCACATCTTACAAACGGTTAGGCTAAAGTTGTCTATGGTTAGGACTGATGAGAGAATAATAAATTTTTGGTCCAGTAAATGTTTTGCACCTCCATTTTATTACACGAAGCAGTGACTCACAAAGCAACATCCGAACATGTACCAGTTTACATCTGGGGCCTCCGGATTACGTTGCCCTGAAGTGCTGAAATATCATCAATTTTTGCATATGCGGCGTCAAAATAACCATGAATTGAAAGAGAATCACGAAAACCGAACAAGGGATGCAATACACACAGTCACTTGGGGTTGGGTATATATGAGCATATATCTGCTAGGATCCCGTGAAGAAAATGGTCGCGGTTCAATTTTGGGCAGTTAGTTTACTGAAGTTTCTGACAGGTTTTCTTTAAGGAAAATCACCATCAAACACGTAACACTATTCGCAAAGTATTGATAATCGTAAATGAGTGCGTGTACGTTAGAGTGACACATCAACTAGTTTGCTTGAAGTGATGCATAAACGCAACTGTGTGCAACACCATAGATTGCTCATCCCGCTGTCTCCTGTCTGGCATTGGGTAGGTCACATGAACCCTAAGGAAGAAACCCAATGCAGATTAATTATTCCAGGCTTGTAATTGTTTTGTACATACCTCGGGTCATGGACCGATCACTTTCAATAGTTCTTCAATCATATCCTATTTGGCCAAATGTTTTCTGCGACTGATGTTTTTCTGGGGAGAAATAAACAATACCTGACCTTACCGTATCAGTTTGAGAAAATCAAATAATTGATTTGCTCGTGTTCTACAATCGACAACTTGGTCTATGCCTAGCAATACAAATATTTGCTCGATATCTGTTCATGAAGCGCTAATTTTATGATCCCCAAAATGGATATGGGAAGACTGCGTTAGTTATCGCCTTCGGTTAAGCCAGTCACATCTAGATTGATGATAGTTATTGGACCGTTTGCACTTCTTCTGGGGAGTTCATTGAATCCCCAACCAAATCATCATCCAATATTCAATCAGGCGAGAATCAGGGATATTTTCGCAGTATTCATTTTATTTCGTTTAACTACGGGACGACATCAAATGCTGCCACCGTTGAAACGGTGAAACGACTGAGTCATTTCGACATTCGTTTTTGAGTCTACCGTGGTCCGCTGTCGGTTCCAGGGTTTGAACAATGCTGTCGTTTTTACAGTCCTTGTTTCCGATCGAATGTTGGTCGATTACGGTAGGCCGATTCAACCGACCAGAAGGCACAAATGTTTGTGGACCTAAAACTACTGATAATTTGGGATCAAGAGAATTGCCTGACTATTGACCTCTCTGCAATACCACCGGATCATAGGATCCATCATTTGTATGATCTCATTCTCTGAAACTCTGCCTAACAGGATTGGAATGGGGCATAGACCCTCCGGAAACGTTGATAGCTGTTCATTCAGTCAGATCACATTATCAGTCTGTTGTTCTCATTCAGCACCCTGTTTGGACTAGAGAGAATATAAGAAAAGCAAACTCAAGAAATTGTTTGAAAACGTTAGTTGGCACTCTGAATATTTTCGGAACTGCTTCTGGACGCATCAGGAAGAGGAAAGCATTGCGGATAAGACTTGCAATCTCCCTGGCCGAGGGCACAATTGTGTTAGTAGCACACACTTCGCGGCTGAACATAACAATTCATTAAACTCCAAGTCTTTTCTTGCTATGCAAACGAAAACAGTTTAGCCCCCGATACACCTACATATATATATATATATATATCCGTCCTCCTGTCAAGTTAGGTAAGTGGAGGGGAAATGTGTATCCGATTACATCGAGGAGCTCAACACAGTCAGCTGTATGATAGATGGATAAAGACCGAAGCGACTGCGGACATCGAACATCTGACCGAGACTCATCACATAGCCGATGCGTGCGAGGCTTACTGTTCTCTCGACACGGTTATAGGAAAGTGTACCAAACAGACTGTGTCGACTTCTGTCAACGGTCGTTGAGGTCGCAATCTGTCATCACAATGCTCATTCTTTTAGACCCACCAAACAGCTTGTAGAATCCCCAGGCCCTGGATACTCATTCGCATCCAGCCTGGCCACTCAATCCCGCTTTCAATGACTACTATTCACACACCTACGCGAACTAACAGCGCGCTCAGCAATGAGCTCATTTACCATGTTCTTTTCTAATCTGGTCAAAAATTTATCATCAACCTGTCTTCTGTCAATCACTATCCAGTCTAATTTAAACCACGTTATGCCTAGAGAATTTTCGAAGCATTGATTAGACACTAGTTTGCTGACTTGTGGTATTCTCTCAAAAGGGATAGGTTTGTTCAGCTATTACGGCACGCTTTTTAGGGAATTTTCTTTGTTCCCCAGTATTGAGTGGCCGAGGGCTGATTGCAACATGATAATACAGTATGATAAAGGCGATAATTAGTCTAATGGAATTAGAATGACATCTCACTGAATATGGCCGCCTTGGATAGAGCATGCCGTTAGCGAACGGGGGAACTGATCACAGCAAATGTAGGCCAAGTACGGTGCGATGCAAACCAAGGAGTCGTTTGTTTCGTCGCACTATTCATAATGGCAAGCATCAATCGGCCAATGTTGCTTTAAAATAGTGTACTTAGCGTTCACTGAGCTTTCAAATTGTGTGCATTTATCTGTGTCTACACATTCGGATCGCAAATGACCCAAATGTGTGTTTATCCTTATTTCCGTACTCCCATCACAGATGGAAATCTCCTGTCACCGTCCAATACACACACTTCCGCAAACATTCAGCTCCATCCGATCAATCTGGCCTCCACCTTTATGCGAGGCATTACCTCTAAGTCTAATTGCCAACTACGTCAATTTGTTTGACGAACGAGTAACCAAATGGTTACCATGTTTACCGCCACCAGATAGTACGGCAACGGACACGCCGGTATCCGGAACAGTTAGTCCAACAGAAGCCAAGGAACAGACTGTGGATGAGACCAGTATCCAATCGGTTGTAGCTGATCCGTGGGAAAAGTATATCACCGCACTGGATGCGATGAGTCGTGAACATTGGGAAGCAATTGCTGCGGTGTCCGATGTCCAGGCCCAAGATGCGGTTCTGTTTGTACTGTCCGAGTTGAAAACAGCTTGTGATACATCTGGACGAACAAAAATTGTCGAACAGCTCCGAGAATCTCAAATCCACTTGGCCAAACGATTGGTAGATCGAGCTAAGTGCAAGCTGGAAGAAGAGACTGGTAAATGAATTCAACTATGGCAGAGAACAAATTAATCTCTTCCATCGTAAAACTCTCTCCAGAAAAGATGTCGGGTCATATTTGATATATCAAATCTGTTTTTTCTCTATGTTCATAAATGATCTGTGATAATGGGTTTGAATCTATCTGGCTGTGTGCGATGTATTTGTGAACATTTGCTGGGCGTTTTCTGACTTTTTTAAATGTAACTTGTGCATTGGAAAGAAGTAGATAAGGAACCCTTCGTATTTGATTCCGTATGGGAATTTTTGACAGTGCTTTTTTATCATCTTTGTGAGAATTTTGTCATTTTGGGTACGGTTAATATGTCATACCGCTTCGTGGTAATGTACACGTGAATATATTGGACATCCGATCAAGCTTGTACGATATAAAATACACCATTACCTTGACCCATTGTTGATTTGTTTCATGTGAATAGCGGAGAGATGATGATGTGCTCATGTTCCAAATTTGGTCAACACAGTCAACGTTTACGCAATTGATGAGGTCTAAGAGTAAACTCCCTAGTCTAGTCTTGAGACAGAAACCCAAACCGGTACAGGAAAGTGCATGCTTAAAACTGAACCGAAACATCTTGTTCTTTTTCCGCATCTTGTCACACACACACACACACATCCTTCGCCTACTTCAAGCACAATGCATGTCATTGTTCTACTCAGTCATACGAAGATCCAGGTAAGAAATCGTGCACTAGATAATCATTCATTTATAAAAATTCTACGCCTCGGGAGAGCAAGTGGTTAAAAATTGATAAATTATGTACAAGCTTGTGCACACTACTTAATCCTAGTTTATATACATACATAACACCAATCTATAAAGATAGGGCTCCGAAATAAACCTGTGTTAATGAAAAATATAGGTACAGAAGCGAGAAAAACAAAACAGTCAACTTGGGGAGCAACAAAGGTTTTGTTTGTTTACTGCACACCATTTTGAGGGATCTTCATTTAGGTTTATTTTTGGGATTGCAAATAGAAGAGGATGCATTTGCGCCACTGACTTTGCTTCTATGCCATATCCTGCAGTGTCTCCAGCTAAAAACAATATGAATCTTTGGGGCTCCATCCGGGGAGCCGGAAAACCCCAACGGAAGCCAAATCCGAGCACAATCGGTAATCTATATCCGCCGAGGTTTTAAGCTTCTCGGTGAATCCTCTTTCCAGATGACAGTAGTTCATGTTGAACGCCGGAAAGACGGTTGGGAATTACATAATATATGGTTCATGTGAAATCAACTACTGTAGCCATCTCAGGTAGTCTGGCTGTGTGATGTGGGACTCAAAACCACACTGTCCCGAGTTCGAGAGGTTAAAATTCGTGGTGCACATGCATTGCATGTAATTTCAACCAAGTTATACACAATACAATACAATACAATACAAGGATAGATACTAAATGATAAATCGTAAAGTTACCCTTCAATCTCCCATTGACCATATAACCTAAAGGTTAAGTGTCACTCCCTCACACTAGTCCCCAAAGTGTACCGAATGCATCTGTGCAAATTCTGCTTGGGCATATGTCTTATTGCAGTATCTACTCGCGTATACGGTAAAATCAACTTTCAGTTTGCATCCTGAAGAATTGGATGACAAGTCAATTGTAATAAGGCAAAACATTTTAGGCGTTGGAGAGCCAGAGACACACTGCCTTTCCCTGAGGGGTGTGCCCGAGAAGTTTATTTCAATATTACAATCCTTCTACAATAACAGCCAAAGCCGAGTCCGAGCTTAGGGCAATTTTTCACCCGAGTTCACCGCTGAAAGTGGTGTTGGACAGGGTTACCCTATTTCCCCTTTTCTATTCAACTTTGTTATAGATTTGATTATGGAAATAGCCCTACCCTCGTGCGAGGATAGTGACATCGATTTACTCCCAGGCGGCAGACTGTCTGATCTAGAGTATACAGACGACATTGTGCTACTAAGTGAAGACCCAGGTAAATTGCAAGCTTCTTTATAGTTCGAGTGCTTGTGTAGCCATGTTCGGTATGCGTTTTGCACCTTCGAAGTGTAAAGTGTTACTTGAAGACTGGGTTGGTCCAGCAACCAGCCTAACTCTAACTGGGGAAGTAACAGAGCCAATGGATAGGTTTTGTTATTTGGGCAGCTACATCTCACCTGACAGACGCATCATAGATGAAGTGTCGGCGCGGATACAAAAGGCTCGATTGAAATTAGCCAGCTGGAAACATCTGTGGCGTCGTCGCGACATCCGGCTGTTTGTTTAGGGTAGAGTAAATGCTGCAGCAGTTCGGCCCGTCCTGCTCTACGAAGCAGAGACTTGACCAGTAAGGGAACAAGACAAAAATAGATTGTCGGTGTTCCAATACCGTTGTCTACGTTGTATGGCACGAGTCTGGTGGGGTAACGGGACGAGCAATACTGAGGTCAGGCTTAGAATTTTAGTCATTCGCGGTCTTCCACTGGAGCAAGTGGTCGACCTTCATAGAATGCGTTGACTGGAACATGTGCTACGCATGTCCCCAGATAGGTTGCCACGGCGAGGAATGCTTTCCGAGGCAGGTAGCGGTTGGAAAAATCGTGGGTGGTCAAATTAAGACCTGGCATGTGGGGTTTAAAAACCCTGACCAGAAGACTAGGTCACATAGACCCCCTATGGCTCCCTTGCTAGGAGACTGGCTCACATTGGTCCCGTTAGGCTCCGTGGCTCCGTGGGGACCCCAAAATCATAGTCACCGATGGTTAGGGACACTGAGCGATATGGCTGGTTGTCGCAAACAATGGCGCTTATGCATATACTCATTACTCTTGTAACTTCAGTCTATTTAAATGTGCTATCTTTCGTCTAAATCTGCTCTCAACATTCTAATCATCATTCTGCGGTTTTATCCAAATGGACAAGCAAAAGACAGCAACCAAAACCGGCACATGAATGTGCATGGTAATGGGGTCAGAACTGAACGGAACTGAACAGATACACATTGTACTGTGGTCAAGTAAACATACACGCCTGGATAGATCGTGGTCCAAACATTCGATTGTCACTCACAATGTCGAGTGCCAATCACAGTCAAATCGATACCGCTGGCATACCACGATCGAGTTCGAACAACTAGGAACAACCGCTTGATCTGATTTCAGACTGGCTTAGCCAGATGCTTGCATTTTGTCCACCACGAACATCATCTTGTCGCCTATGTGCACCGAGAGGTGCAATCTCAAGTGAATTGCCATAAGGCACGTTTCCCCAATCGGAGACTAAATAGTACTTAATTACGGAAATTGCATAAAGCGAGTTACATCTGTAACTGTTTCTCTGTTCTCGCATTTCCTTCATCATCAGCGTTCAGCCAAAGGGACTATCTTGACATTTCCCAGCCCAGGTCAAATACTCGATAGTTTGTCAGAACTGTCATCTATCTATAGATTGGCAATCGGCCTGATTACCTGTACTTGTTGGCGAAGGGGGCAGGGGAGCGAATCCTGGGTGAAAACTCGGCAAACCAAGTGACCTTTTGTTTTTGTCAATGCGCATATAAACACCAGTTTTTCTCGGTTCCCTGATTCCGATACGAATGCGACCGGTACCCGGGGTTGACAGCTCGTAAATTTGACGAGCAACATTCTATGGTATAAAAGACTGTGCGAAATACCCGGGTCCATTCGTTTACAATAGCCCCAAACACGTTAATTTTATCTCTATGCCAATTTTATACAGTCTATTTTTCGGAGCTAAACAGCGCTGCAATCCATTATCAACGCATGCGATTAGCCGGAACAGAGGAGACATCTGTGTACCACAGGTAGATATATGTATATATTGATACAGTGATTATGATTATATTGGCATGACTCCAAATCACTGATAAAGAACTTGTTCATCACCCTGTTTTCTATCTGGAATCCGAGGAAGAATATGTTGGCCGTTTGATTGCCGAGTTGGGCACTTTACTTTACATTATATGTACACGGTCGACATAGGATCTTCAGAGCTTGTGACACCACGTGTACTTGCTCTGGCATGTCAAAAGCATGCTGGAAATTCCGCGCCATTTCATGCTTATGAAGTTCCATCTTTGTTTAGTCAATATAATGAAGAGATACACCTTGTGTAGCTGGGGATAATCTATAGCGTTGCTTTTCAATAAGTTTATATTTGCTCTGAGAAACTGCACCAAAATTCTTATTGCCCGTCTTGTGCCACGGAATCCTGATTTTAAGTGACAGAAGCACCGGACACCTATTTCTTCAACAATGAGTAATTTTCCGTCGACGCGTGTACTGGAATTATGGATATTCGGGTTGATAACCGAACCCCTTTATCCCTTGTGTGTGTGGGAAATTGAATATGTTAACCGGAACATAGCATCGACATCTCAATCAGACTGATCACATGTTTTGCAACTGAGGTTTCTCATCTAACGTGGTTGTTTCGGCAGATTTGAAGTTATTAGGTCGATTTTGAAAAGTTCAGTAGCCTAGGTGGGATTTGAACCCACGCATGGACGCCGCCTACGTTTTTTGCGCGCACAACCTACCAGCCGAGCTACGAGGCCACACCGATAGCACTGATCTTTTCACATTCGAATTTACTCATCCAACTTGCAGAGGCATGTGGCATCCACCAGTTAGCATTAAAGCTAACTGTCGCGACAGGTTTTCTTTAGAATTCACCGGAGTCCACCGAATGAACTTCTAAGAGAAGTTACATTGTGCAAATGGTTGTTTCGATAATCCGCTTAGTGAAATACCGCCCTCTACTTTCCGCACATCATGCCATCAGCAGTCGGGTACATTTAAATTTAAGTTCCTTGTTTTGTCGCAAAAGTACACAAAACTCCGTCCGTTTTTTCCAAATTAATGATGCCCTCACCCCTCCCTTCTCTCTGACTGTTGTCCATGGAACCATTGCAGTTATTGCACGTTTCTCTTATGAACATTAGATTGTTTCAACTGGTCGCAACTCATGAGGTCGAGATAAATGTTTACATCTCGCAATATCTTTGTCTATGACAGCA